GTCTGGGAGGCTCCCGGCAGGAAATGGATGTTTTGGGTTTCTTATTCTGCTCCAGCTCGCAACAAGGTGAGAAAGGGCTGCATCGCCTGCGTGGGCTCAGGGGCCGGGGAAAGTCTGGGCGTGTGGCCAGGGCGCAGAGCGGTCAGGGCGAGGGAGGCGTCAGCTGCTCTCCGTTGAAAACAGTGTTTCAGGTGAGCGAGCTTGAAGAGAGCTTGTGGAGAAGAGTTTTAGCCCATCAAGCTCGGGGCGGGTTACGGGCCCTCGCCCCCAAGCCCGGCCCACCCTGTGTGGGATGCCACTGCCCAGTGGGGCGAGGCCCCGGCCAGCGCTGAGCCCCACCCTCGGGCCAGTGCCAAGTGACCCCAGGACCCCACCGCGCCGGCTGCTCCCACAGCACCGTGCTTTCCTAAGTGGGGTGAATAAAAACCTGGAGGGAGAGCACCCGGGTAAACATTATGGTAAAATGCTGGTAAATGGGAACTCCCCCGCCTGTAACGCTTCAGAAACGACTGTTCTGTGGACTTGGGGTTAAACAAAAGCTATTTGGTTCATATCAACTCTGAAAGCCTGAACACCACGCTTCCGCCCAAGGTGAGAGCGGAGCAGGCGCCTGCGTGGGCTGTGATGGGGGCGCGGGGCGCTGGGGTGTCCGCCCGCGTCTTCCTGGCCGGCCCCGGCCTTCGTGCCCACTGCAGGTCTCCCCGGAGCTGGGAGAGCAGAGCGCGGCCTGGCGTGTGCCCCACACTGCCTGAATTTTGAATGTTAGTGGAAGGTTATTTTGTTTGCTTTTTAACTTCCTTTCTGGGGCCTTTAACAATTTTACACCAGAGATTTGCGAAGGTCTGGGCCTCTCCGGGGCCCGCTGGCAGGCGGCCTTCCGGCACGCGGTCACCTGACCTCCGGGGCCCCCAAGGACTGACCTCCCTCTTAGGGTCCCCCTAATACCGACTGGGACAGAGACCCAGCGGCCCTGCACAGCAGGGCGGCCACCAGCCCCGCCCTGCACCCCAGGCGCGGGGACACCCCCAGAGCTGCCTGCTTTTCTCTTTTCACGCGCTTCCGCTGCTGGGGTGGCCACGCCCTGCAGCGAGCTTCCTCCTGGGGTGACTGACCCCGGCTGCGGTCGCGGGTCTGTTAGTCATCTTCCCCTGTCATCCCTGCGGCCGGCGAGAGGAAGGAGGCACACACTGCGCCTCTGAGATGGGGGCCTCCTTGCCCGGCGGTCACTTCCTGTGGCCCACGAGACTGTGGGCCCCGGGGGTCCCAGTGGGAGAGCTTTCCATGCCCTCACACCGCTTCAGCCGAGAGCACCAAGCAGGCGTGGAGACTGGGCCGCGCTGCGGGCTGGAAGGTGACAGGACGGGGCCGCTCCCCCACCCGGTGCACCCCGTCACATGCTCCTCTCCGTGGGATAAATGAAAACCCGGAGGGAGCGCACCCGAGTTCTTGGGGTGGAAATGCCCGTGCCCAGCGGTGCCATCCCCACGTGTACCCCCCACGGCAGGGGCGCCCACAGAGGGTGCTCACGGAAGCCGTTTTTCAACCTGTCCGTGTGGGATAGTTGCACGTCCCCCTGGGGGGTGGGCAGGGCCCCAGGGCGCCCGCAGCCTGAGACACCCAGCCCGGCGTCCCCTGTCGAGGCCGGAGCTCACTCACCACGCCCATGTGGCCCGTGTCCGCGCGTGGCCCCAGGGACGCTGACCCGGGTGGGGCAGGGGCCGCCGGCCTAGCCCCGCAGGGCCATTCGCTCCGGGACCTCGCGCCACTCCTGTGGCCACAGCAACTCCCTCCCCCAAGCCTGGCAGCCACTGCCCTGTTCCCCATTCTCAGTAGTGTCATCATTTTGAAAGTGCGGTAAATAGAATAAAAGACATGAGGCCTCTGATCGCCTCTCGCCAGCACCGTCTGGCCACCTCACCCGCTACTGGGTTTGGCTGCGCATCTTTCCCGGCCGAGCCGCCTGGAGGCGGCACCTGCTTGCTGCCAGCCCTTCGCCCCCTGAGGGCACGGGCCTTCCCGGCGGAGGTCCGGCTGGGCGCGCCCGGCCAGGCTTCGGCGTGAGCACTGTCCATCCCTCCAGATGAACGCCCGGGGGGCCGTGGCCGACCCACGCCTGCGCAGCGAAGCGCCACTGGCCCCCAGCAGCCCGCGCGGGGCCTCCTGGCGGTGTCCACGGTCAGCCCAGGTGGGCAGCGGCCACCGGCGGTGGAGGCTTCTGGCAGCCGCCCGCCTCCTGCTTGTCCGCAGCGGCAGTCCGTCCCGTCTTTGCCCGCTTTCTAGTTGAGCCCTGTGTCCCGGGCGCTTCTGGGGGGGGTGCGCGAGCCCGCGGGCGGCTCCTTCCCGTGCTCGCGGGGCGCGGCGGGGCCCCCTGTGCAGCGAGACCCAGCAGCTCGCTCCTCTTCAGGGGCTGGCGCTGGTCCCAAGGCTTTTTCCTGTTTTCTCTGCTTGTTTTATAATTTTACACCTCGGTGTTCTCCCTGTCATGCCAGCTTCCGCGTGAAGTGTGACTCGCAGGCCGAGGGTTTGGCTTTGCTCGTGTCTCGCCTGCAATGACAAGCGGCTCCAGGACTGTTTGTTGAAAACAAACACGGAGCGGCCTCCACGCCCTGGCCGAGAACCGCATCTAGCGGGGTCCCGTGCCCGGGCTGCTGCGTTCCGCCCCCGGCTCTGTCCCTCGGTCCCTGGCGCCACAGAGGTGTCGGCGTCCCGCAGCGCGAGCTCCCGCCTCGCTCCTCATGAGACCCGTGGGAGCTGCCGTGGGCTCCGCGTGGGGCGGGCCGAGCTTGTGTCTGGAGCAAGCCTCTGGAGCCACAGCGCGTCTTCACTGGGATCCTTTACTATTAATACCTTCTCTGCATTTAGAAAATAACACTTCATCCCCGGAACATTCACCAGACTCACGGTCTTCGGGCCGTCTCCCGCGTGGTGGAAACTCGTTGCCGTCCTGCCTGTGAGACCGAAACGCGCAGAGTGAGGTTGCGGGCGGCCCAGAAACCGCTGGCTGCGTGACCAGGCCCGGCACGACGGCCTGGGAGCGGCTCTGCCCTTGCACAGCAGACAGGGCGCCGGGGCGGGGCAGCAGCCTGCCGTGTAGGCGCAGGACCCCAGGGCTTCGGACTCCCCAATGGGCAGCCCGGGCCCAGGACGCCCAGCGCCGGCTCTGACGGGCCTGCAGCAAAGCCCTTCTGCCCCAGCCCTTGGGCTGTTCGGGTGTCCTCAGCTGTCCCCGGCCTGTCCCCTGGCCCGTCCCCTGGCCAGTGTGCCGGCACCTGCCATCCTGCCCTCGGGCAGCGGGCGCGTAGGAAGGGCGGGCAGTGTAATCCGCGGGGGTGGACGCGAGGGTCATGGCCCCGAGCCCCAGGCAGCGAGGGTCTCCTGAAGTGGACAGACAGCGGGTGAGTCGCCTCTCCAGGCCCCACCCGCACGGCACTCACTGTGCTGTGGCTTCAAAGGGCACCGGTGGCTCCATCCTTACCCCCGTCTGTCCAGACTTCCTTTCAAGCGAGAAGGCTGCAAAGCAGGTGTTAAAGCTCAGCTCGCGCACTCCAGGGGAGCGCTAGGAAATGACCGTGTGGAGGGAGGACACAGCAGTGCCTGGAGCTGTAAAATACGCTGCGGGTGTAATTATATATGAGCACGTGTGATTAACACAAATTATATATATTCACATCCCATACATTCATAAATTATGTAATATATTTATTTTATATCCTGGTATAAAATTCTAATATGAAGGTGGATTAAAACCCGGGCTCGGGGTTGAGTGCGAAGTGCCTGAGGCCCAGGACAGCAGGTGCGAGGCGGTGGAGAGGGCCGGGCCCGGGGCCTCAGGACAGGAGGACGGCACCGAGCTGGACGGCGTCCGCCACCGCCTGCCCCGGGGGCCCGTCTGCGCGCGGCCTGTCGGCACAGGCACCAGGCAGGCGGCCAGGTGACGCGACCGCTGCGGGGCCTGACCCGGTTGGAGCTGTTCCTGCGCCAGCCCTTGGCAGGAGGGGGTCGGCCGTTTCCCCTCAGCGGCCCGGCGCACCCTCCGGCGGCGCCCCCAGCGTCACCGCCGCCCGGATCTGTCTGCCCTGTCGGCTCGTCTGCTTTGGCTCCTGGTCCTCACACGGGAGTGACACCGTCGGGTCTCGTTCGCCGGGTTTGTGTCACCTCTGAGCCAGCCCCGCCACGTGGGGGCGGCCTGTGCGGAGGAGGGGGGAGGGGTGGGGGTGGCAGGGACTCTGCAGCCTTGCGCTGTCCTGGCATCTGGCCTCCCAGCATGAAAGGGAGGAGGCCTTTGGGATGCTCGCCAACTCCAGGGCCATCGCCCGAACCCGGACCCCTGCCCACTCCCTGGTCTGAGTCCCGCGTGGTTTCCCCTCGTGTCCAGCGGGGTGTCGGGGTGGAGGTGCTCTCTCCGGTGTGCAGACCCACAGTCTCCCCTCCTGTCCTCTGGGGTGTGCCCCTAGGCTGCCTCCTAACACGGCGACGCCCCCCCGCCCCGGTCTGGGTCCCCAGCTGTCCACGCAGCGCGCCCCACCCCCACGCCCTACTCTGGGCCCTGAGCCAGCTGGCCGGCCGAGAGGCAGGGAGGCCGGGCCAGGCCAGGCGTGGCGGGTGCTGTGAGCAGGAGGAGCAGAGTTCGCCGAGCTCTGCCCAGGTCTGTGTTTGGTGGCATCAGTGTGGCCGCCCCTCCTGCTGGGGGTGCCCAACGAGGATCCCGCGGGGGGCTGGGGGCCCCTGGGACGTGTGTGTTTCGCGACAGGTCACACGGGTGTGTTAGTAAGTGTGACCCCTCTGGACACAGGTCTTCGCTGTGTCCGGATGCCCAGGGCTGCGTGGCCCCTACAGGCGTGTCTCCACAGCGAGCGGGTGCCCCAGAGGAAGAGGCGCCCCGGGAGGGGCTGGCGCAGCGCAGAAAGCTGGTCTGCAGCGGGCAAAGTCCAGGCCACGCTCCCCTCGGCGCCTTCCTGGGGCAGGCGGCCAGCACTCAGCCCCGAGAGACGGCAGTGGGCATGGCGCCCGCGCGTGCTCCGTGCCGGGGTAGGAAGCCCCTGAGGGCCCCGGTTGTTAAGGAACAAACCCACAAGTGCAGAGACCCCTGTCGGATCCCCGAGCCAGGCAGCCCTGCGGAGGCGGGGGTGGTGGGCTCGCTGCCGGTTCGGCTGAGACCTGGGGAGCGGCTGTCCCTCCTGGAGCCCCTGCAGCCCCTGCAGTTGTCTGCACTCACTCCTCTGGGTGCTGCCCCTGCCCAGAGCCCCGAGGGTGGCGCCCTCCCTGGCAGGGGTGCCGGGGCCTTGGCTGAGAGCGTCGGCTGTGCTCAGCCATCGGCAGTCCCGCGCAGCTCACTGCCGGAAGGTGTAGCCGCACGCGTGCATGTGAGCAAGCCTGTGTGAGTGTGCGTGTGAGTGTGTGAGAGTGTGTGTAAGTGTGCGTGCGTGTGACAGGGAGGGTCAGTGAGCATTGTGTGAGTGCACATGAGTGTGCATGCGTGTGAGGGTGAGTGTGCATGTGTGAGTCACTGTGCATGTGGAGTGTGAGGAGTGAGAGTGAGTGCACACCGTCCGTGAGCGGCCTTGAGAGTTGTCGCTGTTTCATATCGAGGAGGAGCATCCCGGTGTCTCGCTGCTGTGAAGCAGAATCTGGGGGTGGCAGCACCCCGTTCTGAGTCTGATGGGAAGACAGTGATGGTCACTAGCAGGCAGCAGGGCGTCTCTTGCTCGGGGCGTCTGGATTTGCAGGCGTGCACAGCGGGGTCTGGCTGGAAGCCACAGCTGCTCTGGAGACTGACCCCGTCTCTGCCTCTCGCCCCCACAGCTCCGGGCTCCAGGATGGGGAACCACGTGGGAAAGCGAGAGCTTGGCGCCGAGAAGGCCACGAAGGTAAGAGGGGAGCGGGCTGCAGACCCCGCAGGCCGCGCTTCCGGGGAGAAGCCCCCTCCCGGCCCCCACAGTGATCCCGGGGTCCTCCCAGCATCCATGTGGGCGCTGCGGCCAGTGGCAGACCCCGCCTGGGGAGCGCTGAGCCTGGGAGGCTGCAGCGAGTCCTTCCAGCTGCTCCCAGGACCTGCCGCCCCCGGCACAGGCCACGGCCTCCCCACCCTCCAGCCTGGCCCCCTTCCCCCTCCCCGGTGACTGGGGACAGAGGCACAGCCTCTCCCGACCGAGCCCCCTTCCGCAGGTGACCGGGACCGCCAACCTCCGGCACCTGGGCCGGCTCTGTCCACCACTTGCCCAGGGTCACTGCAGATGGCGGGGGGGGGGGGTGCGGGGCTGCACGGCAAGCAGAGGGCTGTGCCCTTGTGGGGGGCGGGAGGGGCTCCGTGTCTCGGGGCTTTCTCTTGAGCCTGCAGCCTGTGTCACACCGACAGGCAAAGGACTGTCCGCCAGTAGCTGTGGTCACTCACCATGTCCATGTCCTGGTGGAGCCGGGCAAGTGCCCAGGTGCCCCATGAGTCTGCCCAGCCCAAGGCTCAGGCCTGGACGCTCCGTCCTGCACTGGCCTCCCTGTCCCTCTGCCACACGCATCATCCTCCCTCATTTGCGTCCAGGTCACCTGGGAGGCCGGTGAGGGCCACCGCTGGCCTCCCTCGAGGTCTCTCTCAAGGGGCTGGCGAACAGTTGGCACCATTTGGTATCCTGCCTCCGGGGTCAGGCCCCAGCAAGGTGGCGGCGTCACGCCCTGCAGAGCAGCCCCTGCTCCGGGCCCCTCCCAGTGAAAGGCCGTGTGCAGAGGCCGATAAGGACGGTGGGCACCGGGCCGTCCGCTCCCCTGCCCTGCCAGGAGCAGCCCTGTCGGCAGCGAGCGCCAGGGCCGGGGCGGGGCCCTATATGGGGAGACAGGTCCGCTGGCCGTGAGCCTGAGTGAGCGCTGGCCAGGGCGCCCAGGGCTCCGCCCCCGAGCCCCCTTGTGGCCCATGGCGCCTCTCCCGCTGCGCGACACCCGCACATCCGCACGTCCCCGCGTTTGTCTGACTCCCCGACGGAAGGCCGCTCACTGCCGGGGGAGCCCGTGGCTGTGCGTTTTCTGAGACCCGATTCTCCGCGTGCTGATAAGTTCAAAACAAATCTTGGGACTCGGGCGAGCTCCGGGGGCAGCTGTGCTCGACCCCGGGTCCTCTCCCAGCGGCCAGGCTGCCGCCTCACCTGCACCCGGAGCTTTGGGTGCAGCTCCGGGAGGCGCGCTCCGATACTTGGAGAGTTTTGCCTGTTTCGGGGCGTGGACGCCCTGCCTGTGAGGAGCCCCAATCCTTCCTGTTGGAGGCCCTGCCCTGGGACCCCGCACTCATGCCCCTACCCGCTTCCTCCCACCCACCCCCCAGGTGCCAGCCCTCCGCCCTGTCCTGCGCCCCCCAGGGTACCCCCGGCGCTGCGTGCCAAGCATCCATCCGCCTGTCTGTCCGCCGTTTCTGTGGGCCCTGCTCTGTGCCAGGCAGGGCGGGGGCGTAGGGCCCACCCTCCCCCCGGGCCTCTGCCTCCCCCTCGGTTCCCTGTGGCCTGGGTGCCTTGAGACTGCTGGCTGGTGCCCTCTGCTGACGCCGGCCAGTCAGACGTGCAGGGGCCTGGCGGCCACGAGGGCCAGATCTGCAGGCCCCCGCCTGGTGGGAGCCGGACTCCCTGCTCCAGTCCTGCTGCAGGTGAGGCAGGCGTGACCCCACATCCCCCAAGTAGCTGCGGGCGCCGTGGGTCTATGTCCGAGAGCCAGCGGCGGGGCGACAGCCCTCCGGGGGAGGTGTGCAAGGGGCTGGACTCCGGGTGCCCTCGGCCAGGGGGCTCCTCTCTCGGTCACACGTCACAGCCACGAGCTGGGCCGCGCCGGATCTGTCATGCTAAACTGTAGTGAGAGCCGGGGGTGGGGGGTGGCAGGGAGCCAGAGGTCGTGGCCTCACATCAACCTGCCCAGGACGACCACGACCGACTGGGCTGCGCTTATTACAGGAGACGGGTTTATTTAAGGTGGGAAGGTGAGAGAGTGAGGGGTGGTCTTGGGGGGAGCTGGCGGTGGCCTGGGCTCTGCGGTTGGCGCGGCTGCACCTCGCCGCCCGCCCGGGAGCTCTGCCGGGACCCTCCCCCGCGGGAGGGGCTGCGCGACGGCCTGGGCCCTGGCTGGCGGGGCCCTGGCTGGCGGGGTCGCACCCAGCACCTTCCGCGCACGGGCCCAAGTGTGCCTGAGGCCCCGGCTGCCGCTTCTCTGCCGCGCAGCCCCCGAGTGCCACCGCGTGACTTCATCCTTGAAGCCAAGTTTCTCTGAGGCTCTGAAAGGGAACGAGGGTCCTTCCGTGTGAAATCTCTGGACTTGTTTTACTTTTAAGCACTTTTTTATTTTTAGCAAAACCCTCCTAAGGTTTTAAATGTAACAAAAACTAAAAAATCCCGTTTTCAAAATGCTATTTCCTGTCTGACTCATGGCTTTGGCAATCCGGCTTTAAAAGCTTAAATTTGGAAGCAAAAGATTTTATATTCCGGAGTCCACTTGTGAGACACGATCTCTCTGTGCCCGCGAGTCGGCCTGGGGTATTTCCCCGTAGGCGCCCACCAGCAGCGCCCGCCCCTTCTGGGGTCTGCACCGGGCCCCCTGGGGCATGCCGTCCTGGGGGTGACTTGGGGCCGAATGGGGTTATCACGTTGGTAACAAAAGCCTAATAAAACCCATTGTGATGCTCCTGCGGCTTTTGATGCCTGCACAGCAGACTCTGTCACGTCCTGCTTCCTCAGCGACCCTCAGCACGTCATATGTAACCAGAGTTGTAAGTAAACAAATAAGGCAGGTGGTAATTACACTAATGGCGCACGGTGATTTAGGGTTCCTGCATCCGATTATTCAGAGACATGTGTGTTACACCCACTAGCTCATCGTGGCCTTGAGGTAAACAACAAGACACGTGTCTCAAGACAGAGCCAGGGGTCAGCCTCGGCACTGCCTGTGACCCGGTCTCTAGACCTTTTGGGGATTGGCTGCACCGAGACCCTGCCTGCCCCCGTCCCGGGCCCTCTTGTTGGCCGCTGCCCGCACCCCCACTTCAGGCGCCCGCTCGCTGTTTCTCCTGCTGGTTGCAGGCGGGGGACGGAGCCCCTGCTGGTCCCTCCCCGCTGGGGCTGGCAGGCACTGGCTCCGCCTTGCTCCCCAGGCCTTGGTCACGGTCCCCTCGGGCTGGCCTGTCGCCCTCCGGTGCCTGCTGGGGGCTTCCAGGCCACAGCTCCGTGAGAAAGCTCTCTGGAGAGGCCCTCCTCAGGCTCTCCCCAGTGGCCTCCTCCGTCACGGGGAAGGAAAGCCACCACAGCCAACTGACTAAGGGAGCAGCATGGGCCGCCCGCGCGGGCAGCCTCTGGGGACAGCCCAGGGCATTAACTGCTTGGCCAGAGTCCGCGGGCAGCGGGGTGGCCGGCTCCCTCCAGGGCTCCGAGGCTGCCACCTCTACAGCTTATGGGGCCCCTGGTGTCCCCAGGCTGGTGGCCGCATCACCCTGTCTCTGCCTCTGCTGTCACACGCTCGCCCTGGGTGCCCCTCTGTGAGGGAGGACACAGGCCCCCGCGGCTGGGCTGGGGGCCCGCCAGCATCTGCCCCCCACTCACCCATTAGGTGAGGGGGTTCCCACTAGGTTTGGGGACGGCCAACGCGTGACTATGAACACGACAGACAGAGGGTCAGCAGGTGTCACTTAGACTCGCAGCCCAGGAGGGCGGCAGGACACCCACACCCCAAGGGCCAGCAGAGACCCCCAGGGTCTCCTCTCGAGAGGAGGTGACTGGCTTGTTAGAGGGGAAATGGAAGCAAACGCGTGAGCTGTTCTCTTGAAGAAGCAAGGATGCCCGACCGGGCTGCTGTGCTGCTCTGCCACGACGGCCGGGCCTCCGCCCCGTCCTCAGCCCAGCCCTGCTGCTGCCAACCGTGCCGGGGCCCCCCTGCCTGAGCGGCGGCCGGGGGACGGGTGACACGTTGATTATGCTTTTCCCAGAAAACGCACTGAACGCAAGGTCGCTTTTCTGTCCGTCTGTCCCACGCTGTGGCAACCGCAGGCTTTCTCAAGGGCGTTACGGCAGCGTGCCCAGGATCCCAGCCCCTGTGCGGGCAGCGCTTCGGTGCCGGCCGGCGGGTGGCAGTAGCCAGGCCAGGCTGGCCCAGCAGCTCCAGCGGGTCAGACCCACCCGCTACGGCGTGAACGGGAGAAGGGAGTGGAAACGTGTCGGAACACGCATCTGTCTCAGCAGCTTCTGCTCTGAGATGGCCTGGGCTCCCAGGGGCCGGGAGGGCGCGCTGGGGAGGGGAGGGCGCGCTGGGGAGGGGAACGGCACAGGCTGGGGAGAGCCAGCTGGGGAAGCCCGAGGCCGGGTGCTGCAGGAGATGCCAGGCAGGCCTGTGGGGGCCTCTTCCTCTTTCCAGACAACTCAGCCAGGTCAGAGTCCCCCAGAGGAGCGCGTGGCTGTGACGGGGAGGCCGAGAGCCCCCACCTGCCACCTTCTGGGGGCTATAACCTGGGGGACGGAGCATCCGGCACTCAGCACGGTGTCCCTGGCCCCTGTTCTCTGGCGGTCACTCTGCTCGCTGCACCGCAAGCCCCTCAGACCCCAGGTCTCTTTGGTCTTTGCGTCCTTGGTCCTGGACTGTCGGGGTCCGGGTGGGGTGCGAGCAGGAGAGGGATGGGTGGCCGGTGGCCATGAAGGCTCGCGGACTTAGGTCTCGCTCGGTTTTTTTGTTTGTTTTCCTAAGTGGCCGGCCGGGGCTTGCCTGCAGCTGGCGGGAGCCGGCTCTGCCGTCTGGGGTGTCACCTGTAGGGGCCCGCGTCTCCCGGCGCCGACTCCCCAGTTGGAGTCGCAGCATCAGAACCCCCCGGGGGGCTGCGGGGTGGCTGCGCTTCTGGGGTCTCTGTTCTTTTCTCAGAAGCCTCTACGCTGATCGGGGGTGACCCTGGACCTCGCCTCGTTGGTTTGTCCTCCCACCTCCGGCCTGCCCAAGCGCGGCTGGCTGCAGACGCGAGTCCACCAGGCGGCGTGCGCCCGTGCGCCCCTGTGCCCGTGCGCCCCCGTGCCCGTGCGCCCCCGCGCCCGTGCGCCCCCGCGCCCGTGCGCCCTGCCTGCGCGTGAGCTCGCCCTGGACGGGCCCCGGGCCGCCCCGCCTGTCCGCGGCCCGGCAGGGCACAGGCGGCCGCCGGGGCGAGGCCGCAGGGCGGAGGGGAGGCGGGCGGCCGGCGGGGGCAGGACGGGCCCATGGCCGGCCTCGTCTCCCGCCCCCCCAGCGCCGCGGCCTCCCCCGGGGCGCCCGCCCGGAGCCCCCGAGGTGGCCAGGCCCGCCCGCGGGACGGGGGACGGAGGGCGGAGGAGGGCGGGCCGCGGGGCGCCGGCTCCTCAGGGCGCTGCTGTCTCCCCGCAGGACGCGGCGGGCCCCGGCGGAGACGGCCACGGCGGGAGACGCGCCGCGCGCGAGCTTTCCCGGGAGGCCTCGGAGGACAACGAGGTGTTCGGTACGTAGCGGGCCGGGCCGTGACGCAGCGGGGGTGGGGGGCGTGACGCAGTGGGGGGGGACATGACGCGGGGGGGGGACATGACGCAGCGGGGGGGCGTGACGCAGCGGGGGGCGTGACGTAGGGGGACGTGACGTAGCGGGGGGCGTGACGCAGCGGGCTGGGACGCCGCGCCCGCGGAGGTCGCGCAGGCGCCGTGTCGCTCGGGGTTCGCTGCCGGGGGCGCCCCGGGGCCTTCGGGGCGAGAGCGGCGGCGGCCGGGCTCGAACCCCCGGCGCGGGCCGGCGCTGGCCTCCCGCTGCTCCCCGCCGAGCGGGCCCGGGCGTCCTGGGAGGCCCAGCGGCCCGCGGCCCGGAGGACGCCGGCCGGCCCGGAGGGGTGTCTGACTCCCGCGCGCCGGGGCGCACAGCCGGGGCGCGCAGCCGGGACGCCCCGCGGGGCGGCGGCCGGACCCGGGAACATCGGGCGGATCGGGCGGGACGCTCGGGGCCCTTTAGGCCTCCCTGTGCCTCGTCTCCGGCAGCTTGGGGCGTCTCCGGGGGCATTTTGGGGACCTCGGGAAACCAGGCAGTCGCCGGCATGTGCGGGCCGCCCCCTTAGGCACAGCCTGTGTCCCCGAGGCCGGTGGGGACGCTGGCCACTGCGCCCCGCCAAACTGGGCCAGCGACTCCCGGGTGGGGCGGGTGGAGCCTCCGGCCCCCCGGCCCCGACGCGGAGGAGAAGCCCCAGAAGAGGGCGGCCGGGCCTCCCGCGCGGCTCGGAGCTGGGCGGCGCCTGCTGACCGGCCTCGGGACGCGCCTCCCAGGGGCTGGGGCTGCCCGCCCTTTGCAAGGCCGAGTCCGAGGAGTCTGCGCGGGGGGCCCGACTGTGGCCGCCCCAGGGGCGTCCCTGGCTCACGGCGAGCCAGAGTCCGCCGTCTAGCCTGGGGGCGAGCGGGTGGCGCGGACTCCGGCACCTCCACGTGCGCGGCGAGCAGGGCCGGTGACTTCCAGCGCGCCCCTGTGGGGCGACGAGCGCTGTGCACGCACGTGCGGGACGCTGAGCGTGTGTTGCACGGAGCTTGGCCAGCGCTCACAGGCGCGCGCACGGGAGCCGCAGCTCGAGCAGGCGAGGGAGGCGCAGGCCAGGGCCACGGCCGCCGCGGCTCTGCCCGCCCCTGGCCTGCGCAGGCCCCCCCTTGCGGTCCTGCTGCTCGACAGCCCTCAGCCTCCAAACAGACCCGCTCCCTCGGAGCCGGCCCTGGGACCCGCCTTCGGTGGCCACGCCCTGGCCCCACTGTGGACTGGCCCCGCATGAGGCTGGCCTGGCGGACCCTGGCATCCCCTCCCCCCCATGCAGTACTGGCCGGACCCCCACCTCGACTCCCTGGGCCCTCACCTGGTCCCTGTGGATGCCGTCACGATGTGGGGGAAGAGCAGAGCAGTGAGGGCACCCCAGGAGCCGGCTCCACCCCCACAGCGCACGCCTGCAAAGTCCCAATAGCTCATTGAAGAGGCGCCCCATGCTGGCCCCGTCTGTGCTGCCCCCGCAGTCCTCGGCTCCAGCTGCTGCCCCCGGGAGCCATTGTCCGGCCCAGACATGGAACGTTGTGGCCACCTCTGAGCTCCCACCTGGATCCCTCAGGGTGGAGAGCGGTGTCAGGTGGAGCCGCGTGTCCGGAGGGCCATGGGGCCCGTGGGCGGCCAGCCCCGGCTTCGTGGCCCCTCTGGGCAGCTTCTGTCCTGCCTCTCCGCGCCAGGTCTCAGCCGCTGCTGTTTCTCTTTTTCAATCGAGCCGTATTTCAGCCGCGTCTGCCCAGTGATTTTTGTGGGAGTGACCACTGACGGGGAAAGTGGGCCTGTTCATCAGCGGCTGGTAGACAGAGCTCCCAAGTCAGCCTCCTGAGTGCCACAGGCAGCAGGCGGGAACCTCGTCTGCAGAAGAGCTGACACTTTGGTGCCCTCACCCGGTCACCACGTCCGTGTTCACGAGTTGCTGTTGCATGTGCGGGCGAGCGCGGTGCTTTGCCCAGCGAGACCACGTGGCAGCTGGCGTGGTGCTGGGGCTGCAGAGGGCCAGCGGGGGGGTGTGTGGCGGGGGGGGGGGGAGGCTTGGCATGACAAGCTGCCATCCCAGAGCTTGGGGGCGTGCAGGAGCGTGAGGGTTGGGGGGCCCCCATTTCACTCTTAAAAATACCCAACAGCCGCTGCAGAACCTTGGCTGTTCCAGCCGAGGCTTGGGAAGCAGCATTTGCCCGACGTCCAGGTCTGCACGGAGCAGGCAGTGGTGCCAGGAGGTGTCATGTGCCCAGCCTCTCCCATACAGCGCCTGTCATGACTTGAGAGCAAAGCCGGGGCGCGCCCTTCTCTCTCCCCCTGCCGCCGGGCTGGGTGTGCCCCGTGGGCCGGGCCCTCCGCAGATGCCCGAGTAACCACTGGAATTAAACACACGTGGTGAAGGCGGGCGGGGCTGGGGGTGGCACTCCCGGGCCTCCGGCCTCTGTGCTCGCCCGTGAGGACACCGGTGCTTTGAGGATTCTGCTTCAGGTGCCCCCGCTTTGGTCTCTCCTGGGGAGCCAAGTGGCCCCTCCTTGGGGTGGGCACGGCCGCTGCCTCTCGCCGGGCTCCTGCCCCGCAGAGGGGAGTCAGCTTCCTCCCATGACAGCCAGAAAGTCCTGGGCCCGGCCCCGCTGAGCAAGCGGGTCAGGCGCGGCGTGACGCAGGCGTGCACATGTGCCCGCAGGAGCCGTGTTGCCCTGCGTGTGTGCTTGTGAGCTCGTGCTCCTGTGCTGCTGCCAGTTTTGGCTGCACACGAGCACAGACGCGCCCCAGCAGGCAGGCGTCCCTGAGCTCCGAGAGCAGCTGCTGTCTGTGAAGTCGGGGCGCCGGGCCGGCTTACCCCAGAGCGTCGCTGAGACGGCTGGCAGCCCGGTCGCTCTGACGGGCTCCGCGTGAGCTCCCCGTCAGGAAGCCCTGACCATGGCCGTGGAAGCAGGGCCAGCGGGGCCTCAGGGGCCGCTTCAGCCCGCAGGACGCCCGTGACTAGGCAGACGGGGCGGGAAGCAGCAGGCACAGGTGCGGGACGGCTGAGTCTCAGGGACACGCGAGGCCACCTGCCGGCGCTGGCGTGCTCAGCCCCTCCCGGGCCGTCCAGATCAGGAGACTCGGCTCCCGTCTGCCCTGGTGCTTCTCCAAGCCCGGGGCCGGGCTCTGAGCGGCTGAGGAGAGCAGCTCCCTGCGGGGGGCGGGGGATTTGGTGTGCGGCCGGGGCCTGCGGGTTCCTGGGTCTGCACGTCTGCAGCTCCCAGGGACAGTCATGAGCGTGTGGCCCAGGGGAGCACCCGTGCACTGCCAGCTGCGGGGCCCAGCGTCCAGGCTGTTCGGCGCGGCCGAGAGTCACTTGAGGTCAGAGGGCCACAATAGGGTGACTGAGAGATGGCGGGACAAAGAGAAGATGCCGCCGGACAGCGGCGCAAACAGCAGCTGCGATGGGCCCAGGCCAGCAGGCAGCACCGTGTCCCGGCCTCCCACACCTGCTGCCCAGCGCGGGCACCTGTGCCTCGGCCACCTCCCGCCCTGCCCCCTCTGCCCCTGGCCCCAGGTGCACCGAGAGGCCCCTGCCCCGCCCAGCCCGGCGTCCTCTCCGGGCCAGCGTGTCTGCTCACCCCCACCAGGCGTGGCCCCGAGGGCTGAGCTCGCCTCCCCACGCGTGGGCCTCAGTGTCCATTCCTGGTCGCCCAAGGGCCTCGGCCCCACCACGCCTGTTGCAGCCAGGAGACAGAGCTTCCTGAGACCGCGGCCTCCTGTGGGGGCCCCCAGGGCATCTTCTGGGGTGCCTTAGGGATCAGGGCCTCTGAGGGCGCCGGCCACCCCTGCAGGCACCTCCTGGGGACAGCCGCAGGGACGCACCGAGGAGCCTCCTGCCAGTAGCCAGTGGGTTTCCTGTTGCCTTGACTTCGAGGCCCCGTCTCAGAAGAGCGCCCCCACTTCTGGCCCTCGCTATGCTGGCCCGCATCCCATGCTGGAATTGCCATCTCCCCCGGAGCCACCTCTGGTGGGCGGTGGGCATGATGGGGCACCAGGAGCTGTGGGTTTGCCCCGCAGATGTGCGCCCTCCGCCACCTGGGGGCATCAGCCCCTCCTCACGCTCCCATCGCCCTAACAGCAGCCGAGCCCCACCCGGCGCCTCTTCTCGTCGGCTGCTGCGGCTGAGAAGCTGTGCCAGGGCAGCAAGGTACTGGATGCCCGTAGCAGCCTCACCCGCTGTCGGCCTGTCCTCTGTGCCCCCCATGTCCACCCATTTGAAGTGGGAGATGGCGTTTGTCGCATGGCCATGACACTGACCACTCGCCGCGGCCCCCGGAGCCGCCCGCTCTAGCCCTCGCCCGCAGCCGGCCACGCTGGCCTCAACAGTGCCTGGCATCCGAGCCTGGCCTTTGCCCTCTTGGCTGTGGCTCCGCCCCCTCGCAGCATGGACTCGCGCACTCGGGTCGTCCAGGTGCCCGCGTGGGGCCAGTTCCTGGAGGAGGACAGGTGGTGTGGGTGGGCGGGAGGGAACTGCAGGGCCCAAGGTCAGAAATGGGCAGCAGGCGTGTGGGCTAGAGGTGAGGGATGCGCAAAGCCTGGGTCAGGAAAGGGCCAGGGGTCGCTGGGCCGGGGTCCCCAAGGCCGGGGAGGCTGGGCGAGCGGGCGTGGCCCCGCCCAGTGGTCAGCAGTGGGTGACCCGGGTGGGGGACAGCCCAGGAGCTGGCTGCGTCAGCTCTCATGTGCTCCACTCCCCTTCTCTGCTCCCGGTGCATGGACGCACGTGGACACTGCACCACTCGTCCCGAGCGGTGGGGCCTGATGGTCAGGGTGCATGGCCGTGCCAGCTGCTGGTGGTGGCCGTGGGCAGGCCCCAGAATCAGCAGCACCTACAGCATGTGCCAGCGAGTCCGCAGGGAGCACACTGGCACGCGGCGGAGGGAGTGGAGGAGGTGGGAGCTTCGAGGACCCCTGAGGTGCACTGGGGCCTGGGCGGGG